TCGAAATGAAGGTCCCCCTAACAATGTCATCTCAGGAGATTCATCAAAACCAAGTTTCTCTTCGTATCTAGTCTTCCTCACTTAGAGTTTACCACATACGCCTGATATAGAAACTGTATCTGATACTTGTCGAAAAAAAAGCGCCACTGAAGAAAGTCTTTATATTTTTTTTCCATTGTTCTAGAATTCCACTTCATCAGAAGTTCACACAACTTTTTCTCAAACTGTGAAGAGAAGTTGGGTTTCGAGGAATCTCTTGTTTCATAATTGTCGAGCTTACTTCCATTGCGAGTGAAAGTGTTTGGTGAAGAGATTCGAAGGTCATCATCATCGTCTAAAAGCCAAACGGCTGCAGTACCACGAGATTCATCCGTCCTCATCTGGTGAGATCGACCAACAAAGCTCTTCTTCGTGCACTTTCATACGAAATGAAACTCCCCTCATCTGGTTAACGAAAATTGATGCTAATGTGCAATTGTTCTGAAGCAATATATGCCTCAATCTACTGTCCTGTGTGGCTTACATGGTCTAGACGCAGACTGTTTATTATCACAAATTTCATAACTCCTATTTTCACACCATATGTGTGACTAGAGAAAAAAGTGATGAGGAAACCCGCCTGTGTGGGTTTCCCATATACGCCTATACCTAACCTATTCCCTTCCTTGATCACTAATACATGCAAAAAAGGCAATTAATTTTCTTTTTCTAACTCCATAATAAATTTAGTATTAACCTCTTTTCTATTATTTAGCTCAAGGAATTCACCCAAACTATCCTTGCTGTGTCGCTAAACAGCAAAGTAACCGTTCATATAACTAACTAATAACTTGGGAACTATGAGTGCCTGGTGAAACACACGCATTTCTAATTAAGCAATGTAGTTATTAGCTAAAATAGGGGCTAACCAAGATCCCATATACAAGCCCCATGTTTGCTCATCCAACTTACCATTGAAGATAAAATAGGTATTGCTCGTTGTCAAATTGATTAATCTAATGATTGAATATTTTGTTCAACTTTTTACCTGTTACGATCCCTGGATGTTGATCTAAAGTTAACGTCAATGCCTCGTTTATCACAATATTAGTGTATATAGACACTACAGAGAAACTTACCTGTGAATCTTCTCCTCATCAACTAATTTTATAAATATGTAGAAAAACTGGTTTTTGAAAAATTCCTCTAAAAATGGATGCTGAATTTCCTTTCATTTCATTGAAGAGATGAAGACCAAGATGTTGTGGCATCTGGTATGGTCGCAGTCTCCTTTCGTTATCGCAACTTGGTCTTGCTGTCAGGGCGACTTAGTAGAACGGCCTAGTCCGAAGTCGTCTGCCATAGTAGTTGTCATGATTCCCAGCATCTGACAGTGGACTTGGTACATTCCCAATTTGCACAAATCTACATTCAGAGCTTCAAGGCAATTCTCTTGCGGTTTCGAGTGAGGCCAACTTAAGAGTCCCTACCCCTCGCCTCTTTCAACAAATTGTAAGTTAGTCCAACATTAACTTTCTAAAGTCATTTGATTTCCTCATCCAAAGCTTCCAAGTTTCGGAGATTTGCTTTAACTGGGTACATATAAATTGTGATGTTATATGCATTACGCTACCTCTGTCATTTACAATAATTCTAAGTGGAATACCTTCTTTATGAATTTTGGGCATACTATACTTATTTGGAAGTTCAGCATCTCGCTGGTGAATTGCATTCATTTTGCACTTCCTTGTTCTCCACTGCTTAGATATTAGTGAAGTAACCCCTTAAGTCTGATCTTAAGGCCTTCTGTCGTGTCCCTAATTATACTTTTACGTTAAGGCTTATCCCTAAAAACTATGCATATGTATGTATGTATGTATGC